AAAAAAAAAAAAAAAAAAGTTCAATATTAGACATAGCTTAAAGTTTGCATGGTCATTTCTGAAACATCACTGATGAATAAAGAAACAATGGTGGATCATAAGTGTATTTTGTAAAGCAAAACTCAGTGCTTAGGATTTAGCAAAGAAGGGCTGAGTAGTTATTTTACAGAGAGTGGAAAAGTAAACTACCAAGTGTGGTAGTTAGAAGAGGCCTGCTGACTTCCGTTCTGCTGCACGCCGTTCACAGTGCCTGTCCCTGGGGTCACTTCAGGGGTTAAAAAAAAGATGTCAGCATTTTAGATTTGCATGTTTGTCACTTCATAAAAGTGAAACTTTTATTCTGTTAGCTCTTAATGCTTCATTGTGGTTTTCTTCCGATGGGAATTTCTGTAATAAAAATGCAAGTATCTATTAAGTTAGCCTTTTTTGCAGTCACATGTAAAATATCAAGATGTCCCACCTTAATAGAACAAATGGTTCTTATCACCCGTGACAGGTTGTTCCTGCTGAAGGCTTAGTCTCGATATTAAAGAAGAGAAATGATACTGTAGGAGATCATCCTGCCCAAATGCAACAGAAACCATCTAAGCGAAGAGTGAGATTCCAAGAAATAGACGATACCTTGGATCAAGGTAAACTGCTTAGCACCATGTCTGGCAGAGTTGATGGTCAGTGTTTGCTGAAAGAATGACTTAACGTGTGCTGTGACGTTTGCCAATCAGAGTCATAAAAGAGTAACTGACTTTATCAAACTGTAACCTTAAATTATTCCTAAACATTTTGTTCCATTAAGAGAGCAAGTTGCAAAACTCATCTGTGGCCTCCTTACCCATAGATAATCCTCAGTGTGGAGAGTTTATTTCAATTAATCTCCTTCCTTAATACATCTTTCTTTTTTTCCTTCAGTGAGCCTGATAATTTTGGCTTCTATTCAGTGGCCAGTTACTATTTCTCCTTTATTGTGGAGAAGTTGTGTGAATTACAAGTATATCCTCTTCAGTGATTTCTTCTTTCCTCTTCAGAGTGTCTCTCAAGAGTAGCAATTTAACACCTGCTACTATTGGATTTGTTTTTTCCTCCTGGGCCTATAAGGTAGTGACTGCAGCAAACAGTGCTGCCTTTTGTGGTTGCAAATAGGTTTATCTAAGACTTAGATAAGTAAGAGGAAGTGGAAATGCAGCTGAGGGCCTGTCCTTTCTACTGTTTTATAAAACAATTGCATTGTTAAAGCAACAGTATGAATATTAAGGAATGTTTTCTAAGTCTGACAAAAGTGATGCCAGTAGAAGTTTCTGTATTTCTATGGTCTTAAGACTGGTTAGGGGCCTTGAAAATAATCTGTTCTAACCCTTAATATTACCTTTGCCCCTTGCTTGTAAAATCTTTTCCAGGTAAAATGCCCATTTCTGCTGGCAGTAGTTTGCACCAGATCATTGCTTTAGTAGAAGGAACTCTGGATTTGGAACTCACAGTTCCAATTTCACTTAGTAGTTACCTCCTCTTAGACAAAGTCACTCAATTTGTAGGAGAGTCAGTTTCATGATCTTTAAAATAAGAGTAACATCTCTCCACCATCCCTCTGGGGGCTGAAAAACCTGTCAAATAATGTGTGTGATTTCATTTTGAGAATTACAAAACTTCGTGTAAATGGTAGGTGATGTGGACTGCTAAGCTCTAGAGGTTGCCCAGTGGCATAAACCTTCCTAAAAGAGCCTGTTCTTTCACGAGTGTTCAAACTGTGGCCTTTGGGCTACATGCAAATTATTTGAGGACTGATTTGCTTATCTGTGGTGTCAGAGATCACAAAAAGGTATGCATGGACCTTTTCTTTTGCTCATCGGCTTTCGTTAGTATTTGTGTGCTTGGTGTGTGGCTCGAGACAACTGTTACTCTTCCGGTGTGCTACAGAAAGGAAAAAAGTTTGGACACCCTTGAAAGTCTAAATCAATCCTATTCACTAGAAATAGAATGAAATATATACATGATTTTAAATTTTGTAGTAGACAAAATGGGGTAGCGCCTGTGGCTCAAAGGGTAGGGTGCCAGCCCCATATACTGAGGGTGGCGGGTTCAAATGCAGTCCCCACCAAACTGCAACACAAAATAGCCAGGCATTGTGGTGGGCGCCTGTGGTCCCAGCTACTCGGGAGGCTGAGGCAAGAGAATCGCCTAAGCCCAGGACTTAGGGGTTGCTGTGAGCTATGACACTACAGCACTCTACCAGAGGGCGATAAAGTGAGACTCTGTCTCTACAAAAAAGAAAAGCAGACAAAATGAGTGTCAATAATATATTTTAAACCAGTATGTCAAAGATATTATTTTGACATATGATCTATGTCAAAAAATTACTAAAGAGAGATATTTTACATCCTTTTTTCACACCAAAGTCTTCAGATCTGGTATCTATTTTATACTCAGATCACCTCTCATTTTGAACCAAGTGGCTGTTGGACTGCACAGCTCTGAATGGTTCCAGCACATCTAGATAAAACAAACAAAATAGATGTTTTCAAATACTTAAACTGTGTTTAAATGTTTACATATGACTATGTGATAATGAAGCAAAATACAGAAAAATATGTCAACTAGGTTGTTCACAAAGATAAGCGCCAGGCAGGGTGGCTCACAGCTGTAATCCTAGCACTCTGGGAGGCCAAGGTGGGTGGATTGCTTGAGCTCTGGAGTTCGAGACCAGCCTGAGCAAGAGTGAGACCTTGTCTTTCTTAAAAAGAAATAGGAAAGTAGCCAAGTGTTGTAGTTGGTACTTGTAGTTCCAGCTACACAGGAGACTCAGGCAAGAGGGTATCTGCAGCCCAAGAGACTAAGGTTGCTGTGAGCTATAATGACTCCACAGCGTTCTACCCAGGCAACAGAGCAAGACTCTGTCCCATCAAAAACAGAGATAAGGATGTGGGAGGGGATGATGTTAAAAAAAAAAAAAAGATAGAAAAACCACACTATCCAAAAACAAACACACACCATGAATGTTACAATCATATTTCTATGTTTGTATAAAAAACATATTTTCAGAGCAGTGCAGTAAGAGAGACTGAGAAAGGAGGATCAGTTGAAGGTAGGAATTCAAACCAGCCTGGGCAACATAGCAAGATCCCATCTCTACCAAAATAATAATAATAATCAGCCAGGTGTGATGAAATGCATCTCTAATCTCATCTACCCAGGAGGGCACTCAGGGCTGCACTGAGTTATGATGGTATCACTGCACGCCAGCCTGGGTGACAAAATGAGACACTGTCTCAAAAAATGTGTATATATTTTTTCATCATAGGCATAAACTTTTCTTTTTTTTTTTTTTTTGAGGCAGAGTCTCACTATATTGTCTTCAGTAGAGTGCTGTGGCATCAGAGCTCACAGCAACCTCAAACTCTTGGGCTTAAGCGATGCTCTTGCCTCAGCCTCCCAAGTAGCTGGGACTACAGGTGACACTGTAACACTCAGCTATTTTTTTGTTGCAGTTGTCATTGTTGCTTAGCAGGCACCGGCCAGGTTCAAACCCACCAGCCCTGGACTATGTGGCTGGCGCCCTAACCATTGAGCAACAGGTGCCAAGCCTAATTTTAAATTTTAATAGACACTACCAAGTTACCTTCCAAAAAGGCTTGCCTACAGTTTCATCATGCTGCGAATCATAAAACTTTTTAGTCTTTTTGAAATATTTTTTATTTTTCTTTAATTATGAATGATTGTCAACCAAAGAATAGTTTTTTTCTATGTAGAAAGATTGATATGGACATATTTATTAAAAGCAAACTTGCCAAAAATGTTAAGCAAAATTAGAAGAAATCACTACACAGTCTAGAACTTTACCATGGCACTGAGTGATTAAGAATAAAAGTGAATGAGTAAGATACAGTGATCCCAGCCTAAAACATTTTTTTATTATTTAATACCAAATTAACTTTGCTTTAAAATGGTCCCATGATGTGAACTCCAAAGGTATTATTATATAATAGTAGGGTGTACTCTAAAATAATCCTATGAGCACATCCAAGGAACAATGTCTGTTTTTCTTCTTTTTCATGGAAGTGATTATATTCATTGGATAAATGAGCTAGTTTTCATTTTAGCATTCACAAACACAGGTATGAATCTTGGTGTTTGACTAACAGGTAGGTCTTTGGAGAATCCTTAGGAACATGAATTTTCTGTCAGTAAGTCCTGTCCGCAGAGGACTAACACTGGAAACATCCAGTTATATTATTAGTGAGAAGACAGTAGACGCTAAAATTTCCATTTTGATGACAATGTAACCTCCCTCTGTTCTTGTGTTTGCAGATGAAGTTGGAGGTGGCTCCTGTATTTTACTGATCTTGCTGTGCATAGCAACGGTTTTGCTTAGTGTTGGAGGAACTGCACTATACTGCACTTTTGGTGACATGGAGTCACCAGTTTGTACAGACTTTGCAGACAACATGGATTTCTATTACACTAAGTTACTGCAGGGAATGGCGGAACTGAAACACTGGATCTACCTCTCCTAGCAGCGTTCGACAAAGGCAGGCGTCCTGGCAGTGAGAATGAAAAGATGTGAAACTTTATTTCTAGAGTTCTGTTATATTTCCCCCTTCCTCCGGTAGTGAACCAAGGACATAAGCAACAGCAGCTTTAAATGGCAAGCCAGAAGAACTCCCTTAGAATGGTCCGTGTAGTGAGGCAGATACTGATCTCGAGTAGATGGAACCAATGATCTTTGGAGGGCGTATCTGCCTGAGCGCTGGGCAGAATGAAACAGGGTAGGGTTGGAACCACACTAGTTTCACCTACCTTGTCAAGCCGGTGCTCAAAGCGCACTTTTGGTTTCCATTTGTTGGTCCACAGACATTGCTTCCAGCTACCATGCAATAAGTTTGTATATAATCAAAAGGAGTTACTTCCATGATTTCAGTGTCATTTTTTAGGTCATTTTGGAAGCTGTGTAATTTACGCTTTGTGCATTCTTTCCGGATTCTTTATCCATTTATGGAATGGTGTGTATGGGTGTGCATATGTGTGTTTCAGGCAGAATGATAAGCAAATACCCAAGATAAAGCAACAAAGATTATTTTTATTCTTTTAACTTGACGATGATGTGCAGGCACAAATCTTCGAAGAAGGCTTAACTGTGGGATAAATGAATTATAGAAATCTTGACTCTGAAATGAGAAACTGTGACTGATCTGTGGCAATTAACTTGATTAACTAGCAAAATATTAATCAGAGGCCTGGAGGCAAAATGAAAGAGCTCCCCCTGAGTCTTAGGCAACGGTTTTATCATGGATTCAGTGCTTCCTGAAATGATGAATGTTGGACTCAACTCAATTCAGCTTTTATTGAGCACCTATTATGAGAATCTAAGAACCAGAATATAAGCATAAATAGATTATAGTTCCTACTATAGATATTTTGATTTGGTCTTACATGAAATGAACCAATACTTTGGCAAATGAAATCATCATGTATAATTCAGTGTTACAGATCATGCATTCAGGTATTTGAACGTGCATTCGTATCGTGGGGTTGATTTAGAACCTATCGTGGGGTTGATTTAGACCCTATCGTGGGGTCATGAAGCAAAAATCCAATCATGCCTTCAGTAGGCAGATGTCTAGTTTTTGTTTAAATCCGTCAGTAAGGTGGTCTTCCCTTACCTAAAGTACAGTGGTCTACCATTAGGAAGCCTTGCTTTGACTTTTTATCAGGTAGCATTTTAAAAGAGCAAACATGAATTACGGTTTTTTAGCAAGTGATCATTATTTCCTGGTTTCTGTTAGCCTCATTTGAAAGAAAAAGGGAGAAATTACTCTCTACTTGTTACTGGCTGGTACAGTACCTCCCTTTGTTTCAGCTTATTTATTTAGATGATATGAATTTTAAAGGGCTTTTTATATATAAGTTGAATGTGTGTTGCTAAGCATGCATCCGGCTACCCCAATGCTAGGGTTTAATTACTGTGTACTTAGCGTCTCGGTTTTGTATTTTTCAGTTCAGTGTGTTTTTAGGCTTATTTTTAAATTGGTGTTTTATTTTCACTTGTAATACTGTTTGACTTGTCTCTATCGTGTCACCCATAAACTGTAATATTTTCAAGGGTTATAGATCAAAGATATTTATTTAGAGTTGTACAAGATAATGAATTTTAGATTCCTTATACTTAAGGCTGATTTTATTAGAAGATTATTTTAATGTTCTATTATAAATTTTAAGAATTTGTATTCAAATTGTATGTAAAATATGTAAGATGTTGACGGTACTATCTTAAGTGGTTCTGTAAAAGCTGTTCACAGGGTCTACTGTGAGGGTCACCTCATCACAGACACACCTCTTCTCTCTTATCCTCAATGTCTAGTCACAGGAGTTTGGTGATGCTTATTTCTGCCTATTTTATGTCAAAATAACTTAAAATTTCCCTCCTGTTCACCTCTTTTCGGTCACTATCAGTGTCTTGTATGATCTCTGGCATAGTATTTGCTTATAGGCAACCCAGGCCACTTCTTCTGAAACCCTAGACTTCCTGGGAACCTTCACACTGAGATGAAAGAGTCAAAACCACATCTTCCTAAGCAGGGGCCCAGCTGTGGCTCAGAGCAGCCCTGGGCATCCTCCCTACTTCCAGAGAGGGTGAGGTGAGCTCAGGAGCATATTGATATCTTGACTTAAAATAGGCATGAAATCTCAACTAGAAAAATTAGGACACCTTTAAAAGATGTAATAGTCATTTACTGCATGAACTGGAGTAATTCCGCATGGTGGTGAAAGGATCGTTATCTCTCACATACAAAATTCATCCAGTTTTACTAAAATGTAATTTCTTCCATCACTTGAAAGTATTGACAACTATTTGTAACTAATCTTCCTTGAGAACTGTATTTGAGGATATAAAATCGAGCTTGCAATTTAAAATCTATACCAACAGAATGTCTCAGAGTTTATTTGAACCCTTGGGTGCTAAGAAAACTGCTTTAAAGTGAAAGTATAATTTCAGAAGTTGGTCTGGACCCTCAAGGAGATAGTCTTCTATTCTGGGCAGTTGAGTAGGTCCTTAAGTAAAGCCTTTCTTAGCCTCTAAAGTACTCCCCCCATCCGCATGTAACAGTGGTTGAAATTTACTCTAAAAATTCTTTCTTTCAGATTTAAAAATCAGAATCCTCTGGGAGGTTTACTGTATTGAGCTGTGTGTGTGTTGCTGGAGTGGCAGGAGGACATGGAATGGGAGTGGCAGGGATGAGAGCAGGGGTGGGAGTTGGGGAGAAAAGGAGGGAAGGTGGGAAGGAACGAATCCTCTAGCTGTTCACCTGTTTCACTGAAGCTGACCTTGGGTCATTTACTCCCAATCCAGAGAGACTGAATTTTCCTCTCTCCACTACCGTGACCTGTATCACTCTGTTTCTTCCTTTGGTCTCACTCTTGCTGACTACTTTTGGCAGCGTATGGAGTGTTTTCACCTTTAATTCATTTGAGGCTTAGATCAGTGAACACATCCCTCAAGTCCAGGTCCCACAACTCCTGAGTCCATTTTCCTTTCTATTCTATCATGTTCCCTCGACAAGAAAGCAAGATTGGTTCCAGAGTTTACTGCACAAATTCTAGTGCACAAATTCTATTTTAGCAACCTCAAAGATAAACATTTATCAAGCCTCAGGTACAAACTCTAAAAGCCACAGTGTGGCTCGGCACCTGTGGCTCAAGCGGCTAAGGCGCCAGCCACATACACCTAAGGTCTCAGGTTCGAATCCAGCCTGGGCCCACCAAAACAACAATAACGGCTGCAACCAAAAAAAGTAGCCGGGCGTTCTGGCAGGCGCCTATTGTCCCAGCTCCTTGGGAGGCTGACGCTTGAGCCCAGGAGTTGGAGGTTGCTGTGAGCTGTGATGCCACTGCACTCTACCCAGGGGGACAGCTTGAGGCTCTGTCTCAAAAAAAAAATAAAAATAAAAATAAGTAAGTAAAAGCCACAGTGAGTTTTAAATTTCCAAATGGAATTCTAGTGCTATTTAAATGCCCCTGGTTTAGGCTAGTGTGAGAAAAGGGTTGGTAATCCATGGGCATCTCTTCTCCCTGAATGAGAAAGAGTTGCTCCAAAAGTCAGCTAAACCCTGACATCAGTACAGAACGTTGAACAACAGTCTTTATCCCTGTCTTTACCTTGACAAACATTTGAATGGCTGCAGTGTGCCTAGCACTGAGCTGGGTGCTGGGGCTTTAAAAACCAGGAAGGTACCAGGTTAAGGAATTACCATCTGGGCTTGGCACTGTAGCTCAGTAGTTAGGGTGCCAGCCACATAAACCTGAACTGGCGGATTCGAACCTGGCCCTGGCCAGCTAACCAACAATGACAACTGCAACAAAAAATAGCTGGGCATTGTGGCCAGTGCCTGTAGTCCCAGCTACTTGGGAGGCTGATGCAAGAGAATCACTTAAGCCCAAGAGTTGAAGGTTGCTGTGAGCTGTGACACCATAGCACTCTACCAAGGGTGACATAGTGAGACTCTGTCTCAAAAAAAAAAAAAAAAAAAGAATTACCATCTGGCTTGGCGCCTGTAGCTCAGCAGCTAGGGCTCCAGCCACATATACCTGAGCTGGTGGGTTCCAACCTGGCCCTGGCCAGCTAACCAACAGTGACAACTGCAACAAAACATAGCTGGGCATTGTGGCAGGTGCCTGCAGTCCCAGCTACTTGGGAGGCTAAGACAAGAGAATTGCTTGAGCCTGAGAGTTTGAGGTTGCTGTGAGCTGTGACGCCACACCACAGAACTCTACTGGGGGGTGACATAGTAAGACTCTGTCTCCCCCCCCCCCAAAAAAAGAATTACTATCTGGTGAAGGAAATGTATTTGTGAAGAGGGAATAAAAATGAAAAAACCAGGAAACATGCTGCTGATGGGGGTGGAAATGATCTTACTCTTTCCTTTCATGTGTCAGACACTATTAGAAACAAGAGTAAAATTCTGTCCAAGCCACCTGCAGAACAACTGAACAGGAATCTTAAAAGGAACCTTTTCTTACAGCCAGAGTTCTAGTAATTATTATCTAATAATTATTACTTTTCACTTCTAGTTAGTACTTCCGACATTAATAGCTGACAGGTCTTTTTTAGCGGGGAAAGCTTCTCTGCAAGAGCCTTCAAAATTGAAAGTCCAAATTGCCCTGAATTGAAAACCTTCTGACAAAGAAAACGACAGTCCCTGGTGGCTTCACCAGTAAATTCTATCAATCATGTACATAAGAAACAACACGCATACTTCAGAGTACTATTTAGAAAGAGGAAGAGGCTTGACACCGTAGCTCAGTGAGTAGGGCACCGGCCACATACACCCAGGCTGTCGGGTTTGAGCCTGGCCTGGGCCAGCTAACAACCACAACTGCAACCAAAAAATAGCTGGACATTGTGGCTGGCACCTGTAGTCCCAGCTACTCAGGAGGCTGAGGCAAAAGAATCACTTAAACCCAAGAGTTTGAGGTTGCTGTGAGCTGTGATGCCACTGCACTCTACTGAGGGTGACATAATGAAACTGTCTCAATTTTTAAAAAGTTAAAAATGCTGAGTATTAGTCAAGGCAATGCAAATTAAAACAATGAGATGCCAGTATACATCCACTAAAATGACTAAGATTTTAAAATGTGGCCTTACAGGAACACAAGGGTAGTTCAGCATGAAAAAAATCAATGTAATACACAAAGGAGGGAAAATTAACATGATTATCTCAATGGATGCCAAAAAGGCATTTAACATCTTTTCATGATAAAAAATCTGAATAAACTAGGAATGGAAGGGAACCTCCTCAAGGCGATAAAGGATATTTCTGAAAACCCCAAAGATGACACCTTAATGGTGGAAGACTGGAAGCTTTCACCCTTAGATCAGGAACAAGACCAAGATGCTGCCTTTCATCACTGCGGTTCAACACCGTACTGGAAGTCCTAGCCAGAGAGCTCAGAGGGGAAAAACAAAAGGCATCTGCTATGGTTTGAAAAACATGTTAGAAACAATCTGTAGCACAGCGGTTTTGGGGGTAGGGCCTAATGGGAGGTGTTCAGGTCTTGAGGGCTCCACCTGGATGAATGGACTAATGCCGATTGTAAAAAAGAGCTTGAGCCTGCGTGTTTGAACTCCTGCTCTCTCCCTTTCACCCTTTCTTTGCCTTTCTACCACAGGATGACAGCAAGAAGGCTTTTGCCAGATACTGGCTCCTCGGTCTTGGACTTCCTCAGGTTCCAGAACCATGTGCCGATGTGGGATAGAGCAGAGGATTGAAAGTGCTAGGCACCAGGACAGAGTGATCTGGACAGAATCCAAGCATCGCTGCTGGCCCTGAGCACTGAGAACAATACTCAGATACAGTAGAGACAGCACACTGTCCTAACCCTAAGTTATATTTAACACTGATAAGAAAAAGGTAAGACAGAAGTGCAGTGAACAGAAGGTGTTACGAGTTAAATCATGCAGTTAAAGAAAAAGTTATTTTTTAACCTTGACTCTCTCTTTGAAGCTTTCTGCTGTGCTGTATTTTTTTCCTGCCTGACTTCAGTAAAAGCCTGGGAGGATCATGGGGAGCCTTGTCTCTCCCTGCAGGGGGGCTTGTTGCTGCTGGCCTCCCCGGATCCCTTCAGTTCAATGCAAATGGACTGCATAGGTGTTAATTATTTTGTGTGGAGTTGCACTGACAAGCCAATAAATTTCTGTTCCTTGAAAATTACCCACTTTGTAGCATTCTGTTGTAGCAGCACAAAACAAGATAGCATTAAAATTGGAAAGGAAGAAGTTAGACTGTTTACATATGACATGTTCCAATGTAAGAAAGTGCCTAAAAATCCACTAGAAAGCTACAAGAGCTTCTAAACAAATTCAGCCAAGTTGCAGGATACAAGATCAATACACAAAAATCACCTTTTTCTATGCATCAGTAATTAACAATCCAAAAAGGAAATTAAGGCAGTTGCATTTATAATAGAATTTAAAAGAAGAAAATACCTAGGATTTTTAGCCAAGGAGGTGAAAGACTTGTACACTGAAAACTTTAAAACATTGATGAAAGAAATTAAAGAAAACTTCTAATGGAAA